TTTAGAGAAAAAAATAAATAATACCACAAACAATTGTTTTTTAATCCTCAGAAAAAATAAAAAGTTGATGGCAGATAAGCAGTGCCTAGAACTGCCGAGGGTGATGCTGAGCCAATATGTAGGCAGAGCTCAACTCTGCACCTTGCAGCTGCAGGGAGCTGCAGGAGGCTCTGGAAACAGGTTATTGATAAACTTTGATGGCGAGGAGCTGCACTGCCCGCTTTGAGCAGTGTTAGTCTTTGTGCAGTGAGGATCCTGACACTGATCACAGCGATAACCCAGCTAAACAGCGTGTGATGCGAGCTATTTCCGTTAAGCATGTTGATGTTAAAGTAAATGTGACATGTGGGTGTTGATTGAAGGGACATCATTTTCAGGCCTGCTTTGGCCCAACAACACCCTGAAGAGCAAGTCACTTCTTTGTGCTCACTCCCCAGCTAGGCTGAGCTCTTTCTGGATGTGCCTTCAAGATAGCAGTGACTGCGTGTGGAGAAGGGTGCGCTTGGCACACTGCGGCGCACTTGCAGGCAGCTTCCCATGCCTGGACAGCGTGAGCCATGTCCCCATAGTGGACTCTGGGCTGCCCCAGCTTGTCTCAGAGACACTTCTCCCCTCAGGTGGGCATGAGGGCAGGCAGTGACTATGGTGGGGTGCTGGGGCAGACAGGGTACCCAGCAGCACCTCTGCAGTGAAAGCACTGGCAGCGCTCCCTTTAACCACCCCATTACCGATTTGTGCAGAAGCCGGCAACAGAGAGGAGGTTTCACACGCAACGCTTTGGCCTAGCACCAAGCTATTCCCTCTACCCCCTTTTTCTGCCCCGTTCTGATACTGTGGGATGAGAAAAATAAGGAAGATAATAGATTGGCAACTTTTTGATCCCTTCTTACTTTGGTTCTGCAGTGCAATAAAAAATCAAGGAAATAAATTGCTGCTGCTTGGATCCAGCCTCACCCAAACCCTGTGAACAAGCATCCATGGTCCCATCCTCTGAGGACTTGTAAACGATTTTTAGTAACACAGTGTTTTTCACTATTAGTGGGTAGGAGTTTGAGACATGCGACAGACAGAAAGTAGTTAGCATGTGCATTTGCTTTAATACTGGGCATGAGATTATTGTTTGCATGGGGCACATATGTTCTAATGATGTCACCATGCTGAAGTAGGAGCACTGGTGGTTTTGTGACAGTGCCTTTATGGAATTAAGGAGTTTGTCCACTGTATCCTGGTGTGGTAGGCAGCCAGAGAGCCTGGAAATGCTGCTTAGAGTCCAGGCAACAAGTGTAATGCTTTTAGAAGCAAATGATTCAGATCATCCGGTTGCATTAATTTTATGAAACCATCGGGTAACAACAGTGTCGCTCATGCCCCCATAGATCGCCCATCCCTGACTCGCTGTTCTGCCTGGGCAGGCAATGCCACAGCAGTCCTTCTTGGAGAAATCTCTGGGTGCAGGGAAAATGCCGGGCACACCTTAACACACCTGGAAGAACCAGAGCACGAGTCCTGGCTGGAAATAGCTCATTTGCATTTTTTTCCTTTTCCCACGTAAGGGAGATGAGATGTTTTCCATCCTTCTTTTTTTTGTGTGGCTTGATTTCTCCTTCTTAAAAATAATACAAATTAATTTTAAATAAATACTCATGAGGAAACACCCTCCTCCCCCCAAACCCAGCTACCAACAAATAACAATAAAACCACAGAGTTAAATTCAAATAATGTGAAGCGACTCATTTGAAACCCACAGACACAAGTGGAGTCAGAATTTCAGATTGAGACTGGCCTAAATTGCCCCATTGGTATTAAAGGACTCCTTAAACAGCCTAAGATCTTGGCTGTTGTATTAACCAGGCATGACCCTATGCGTTATGGGCTGCACTTGCAGGCTTTTTTCTCTTTTCCTTTGTGGGTTTTAAATCTCTCCTGTAATGTTACTTGCATGCAGGTTTTTAATGGCTTGAGTTGTCAATAGGAAGGGTTTTTTTTTTTTTTAATTCTGAGTAAAAAAAAAATAATGCAAATTGACATGGATAAAATGCATTTGAAGACCTATTCAGCATTTTGTTTTTCATTCTTTTATGCCTGCTTTCCATGTCCTGAATAAGGGGATATAATACAGCTTCTGCATTCTTGGGTATATGGCTGGTCTCATGCTTGGTGATTTATTAAGCTCAAATCAGAAATAGAGTTGATAGCAAAAAGTCTTTTGATATTTTGAAACCCAATTGCTACTGATCATGCGGGCCCAGCGTACCAAGAAAACAAAAAGCTGATTTTTAGTAATGTGACGACTGACAAAATATGAAGGAAAACCAGATGTTATTTAAAAAAAGTGCCACTGCAGAGTCCTTGGAAAGAGAGTGAGCAAGTGGAAGCAAATAGGCATATGTGGATTTAAATAATATTCACATGAAGTGTAGAATGGAAAAGAAAGAATTTGTAACACTAGCTGGTCAAACCTCCTTCATGTTTCCACAGGCGCCTGGTCAGGACCCTTACCAAGTGCAGCACTTTTGCTACGTTTTTGGAAGAGCACAATTTAAATAGCAGGCAGAAAAATATAATAAACCTCACATAAAAAAGATAAAGAAGTTGAAATCCGTGCTTTTCTTTTTATTTGGTACATATATATATGCCAAAATTCAGCCTTTGTAATTTAAGAGATGCACTTCAATCTGAAGGCTCTACAGGAATGTTAGGTGAAACTGGTAACAAGCATTTCCCCCCCGATACCCTTTTTCCTTACAATCCTTGGTTTAGTTCCTGTTTTCATGTTGTCTTTTCCAGTTCTTTGTCCCATCTCCTGCGTGTGTATCTGCATGCCTGTGCGTGCCTCTATGGGTTTTTATTTAATATTTTGACACACTGCTCCCCCTTAATAGGAATTTTTCCTACAAATAGCACGCACATTTCTAAAGGACCCTTTTCATAGTCCTTTTCTTTTGGCTCTAAAATGATGTATATGTAATTGGTAATTAAAGGTGCAAGCTCTCTTCAATATAAACAATATTGCTCAATGTTAGATCATTAAAGGGAACCACAGCACTAAATAATTACCTTTTGCATCGTGAGACACTGTTCGCAGGCATCCGCTCCCTTTCCTGCAGTCCCCGTTCAGCGCAGGGTTATGGTTACATTTTCACTAAGGCAAGGAGGCATCTTTTCATGACATAAATTGGTGAATTAATTACGTAGAATTGTCTTCAAACTCCTTTTAAACTTAGATTAAGGGAAAAAGGTAATTAATGGTTTTCAGAATGAGTGTTGTGCTGTGTATTTGGTAAGCTTGGTGTGAGTTAGAAAAACAAAGCCTTCCCATGTCCATCATCTGCTCTAACAGGATGATCTGTGCTTGGGCGCTTCTCTGGGGTCCCTGTTCTTTTCTGCTGTCACTGGTGCTGCTGCTGCTCTCTGCTTTGCTGTTGATGAGCTGATACAACTTGCAATACAGCTGGTAGATATACTGATCAATTATTTATTCTGGAAGGCGAAAATGGGGGCAATTCTTTTTCTAAACGGCCTTTTTCAAGGCTCAACCATTTTTGTTTCCAGGTAATACATTTCACCTTCTACCTCTTGTCCCTTTTCTATGTTTTTTTTTGGGTTTTTTTTGTTTGTTTTTTTTTTGTTTGTTTGTTTGTTTTTCACTTTGCTCAAGAGTAGGACAAAACTCCTTTTGTTTTTGGCCAGGAGGAGAACCCAGATCTGGATTATAACATCTATTTATCTCAGTCTTCTTCTTTGAGATATTTGTGTGATTTATTTTCCCAAGGAAATCCATAAGCAAACTGCTCAGGCTAATGGAGAACATTTTTCCTTTAATCCTGATTCGATTAGAGGTCTCACTCACTGATTTACATACTGTTAGTTCCTGTTTTGTTCAGCCCAAATCCTATAGTCATTGCAGAGGCAAAACAGCCTTAGGCAAAAGTCAGTGGAAATTTTGCCTGAGCGAAGACCAAGGTTTGTATGATTTGGCAGTTACACAGCAGAACAAGAAAAAACAAACCAAAAAACGCATTTTGCCCCAGAAAGGAATTCTGATCCATAATTATTTTATAATGTAACAATTATCTTCTAAATACCTATTAAAAACACACTGTGTTTTATTAATTGTGAAATGAGAAGCTGCTTATTTCTTAGAAACTGATGTAGGTCACTCAGAAATGCTTTTCCAGTCTTTGGGGGTAAATGCTATGAAATCCATGAGGTCCATGGGCAAAATTTAAACAAAAAGCTTTTATTAATCTGTATAGCAACTGCGGGGTTATTGGACATCAGGAAAATTGAGTGGAAGGTTTCAGTCTCAGCCAATGTTCCAGTATGTTAAAGAAGTGCCTCATTCTCTTTCCCACTGTAGACACTTCTGAAACCCCTTAACTTCTCATGAGACCGTATCCTGCTTACCTTACTCTTGTGAATAGTTTGCTGTAATTCTTGCTAATTGGTGGTCATTTAACTGTGCAGGTGTCTCTGCAATGGGGCATAGTGATACTAATTTTGCATGCCACAGGGAGCCTGATCCTGCTCATGAGCTTTCCTCCTCTCTGAAATAAGAGGAAAAGTTCGGGTGCGTAAGCTTTGTTGGATGGGGCCTTGGCCAGATGGCTGGGAGACATGGTGGGAATGAGAAGGTGGGATAAAAAGAGAGGTACTATTTCAGAAAGTGACTTGGGGCTCGAACGTTTGCAAAATGGCTCTTTGCTGATATCCTTGCAGCGCTGGCAGCAGTGAGAAGGAGCTGTCAGGAAAGCTATGCCAGGTCAGCTTTTCCATTTTGTTTCAGGCAGGCTTGGTTGCAAAATATATTGAAATCATTCTGGGAGAGCAGAAAAGCTGAAAAATAAGAGAAAGATCTAATCAAAAGTGGCTTTTTGGGGCAGGGGGAGGAAGGCTGGGCCTCTTGTGATGCATCCGTCAGAGTCTGTGAACATTCAAAGCAATCTCTTTCTCTTCTCCCCTCACCCCTCTCCTCCCTCTTTCTCCTTGTCCATGTAAAGCAGAGGCTGACCATGTGGAACCGGCACTCGCCGACGAGGATGAGAGCCTGGCAATAGCGGAGCCGGGTGGCATCAGCATCGCTGCAGGCGGGACAGACCCCGACTTATTAACCTGTGGACAGTGTCAGATGAACTTCCCGCTGGGAGACATCTTGGTTTTTATAGAGCACAAGAGAAAACAGTGCAATGGCACTGGTGGTGCCTGCTATGAAAAGAGCATGGATAAGAGCAGCCCTCCCCCCTCCTCACGTGCCGAGCTCAGGAAAGTATCAGAGCCAGTGGAAATCGGGATCCAAGTCACACCCGATGAAGAAGACCGTCTTCTCACGCCTACAAAAGGAATTTGCCCCAAGCAGGAGAACATTGCAGGTACAGCATGTTTTACACTCAATCAACTGCCTAGGTAATCTTTTAACGAGAGCCCTCTAGAAAGTACTGTGAAACAGAGGCTTCAGTAACAGGTCTTTGTAAGAGCCATTGTCCTGGAGGATCTCCGTGGCTGCGCAGGACTCAGGGGGGCTGTCCACCATATTTAATTATAGCTATCTGCCAGCTCCCAGAGAGAGGGTCCTCTCAATCCCCTGGGAGAACCAAGGGGCAGTCTGTACATGTAGGAAAAAGCAGAAAGTTGGGGTCAGAAATCACTTCAGGAGTGTCCTTAAGCAAGTAACAGTGGTGGAGGGATAGGGGGCCTTGGTGAGATGCTCAGTTCAGTCCAGATCAGGTTCTCTTTGTCACATTCAGTCCCACTGGGAAGGATCAAATCCTGGCCCTACTGAAGTCAGTGGAAAAATCCTCTTCCTACTGACCGCAGTGGGAAGAAGATTTAGTTGCAAAGGCTAAAGCAGGGGTTCATTAAGTCCTTGCTTGCTTCTTTCAGTGAGGTAGGCATCAGCTTCCTGGTCTGCGTTGCTGCCTGTGTCTGCTGTCCTGGGTCTCTTCAGAGAGCTGGAGTTGGCCGGGCAGCACCCCCATTCACATGCACACCCAAATGGGGCTTTTGAATGAGGAGACAAGAGCACAGGCTGGCTCTGGTGATCAAATTGTGGGCATTTCTAAAACTCTTGTATGTGGTGCAGTTAAGACTCAGAGGGCCTCCCTGGGTCAGAGGTGGGCAGGTGTGTGATGGTACCCACCTGGGTGAGCTGATGCATAGTGGTTCAGCAGAGCACCCAGCGTGGGGCTTCTTTTGGTATGCAGGGCGTTTCTCCCCTTTGCAGTGGTGTGTTCCTCTACAGCAGTGAAAGGAAGGCTCTGTTCCCTGCTACTGAGTGGGAGCTCTATATTACACAGGAGGATCTTCCCTCAGAAGGGCCTTTTTTGTTCAAATTTACTGTGTCCCATACAGAATACCTGTGGCAATTTGTCTTTGCTACTGCTGTCCCAACCAAATTTTCTAGGAATTGTCCTATGGGATTATATTTGACAGTCCAGGATCCTGCCTGTAGTAGAGATGCTCCCATGAGGGGATCCCCAGAAGACTTGTGAGAGGCTCCTATCTTTACAATTGAAGCTTTAGAGATTCCTGCTTTTAGCATTGGAGATCTCAGAGTCAGTCCCACCATCTCTGATGGGCTTGGCCATCATATGAGTAAGGAACTGCTGAACTCGACATGATCTGCCTCTTAACGAGAGGCCACATGCCACCCATTTACTACCTTGTTGTCTTCTAGGAATATTTTTTGGGTGCAACCATCATCTTGGCTTGGGGTAGCTCTTAGCTTTGAGGGCATTAGCTTTGCCAGCTTGTGCTGTAGTGTTGTAAGCAAGTTTACTGTTGCTTACATCCTTGACCCCATCCTTTCCTCATCCTTTTTCAGCTTTCCCCACCCTTTTTCAGCTTTCCCCACCCTTTTTCAGCTTTCCTCATCCTTTTGCAGTTGTGAATGCATTTCTTGGCAGAGATGACTACCTCGTGGTGTAGCAGCTTTTAAGGCTAGATTTGATTCCCATTTGGTGGGAACAGAAGACAAGTACTCAAGACCTCCTTCAGTCTGCTGAAGGCCTCCTGAATGGTGCTGAGCACTTTCAATAGCTGTTGTGCAAGCTGATGGTGCTCAGCCCCTTCCAGAGGGTGCCCAGTGCTTAGTAAGGGTGGTCCAGGAGACCTATGTTGTCATTCAGCCCAGATTTCATCTTTTCCTAATCTGTGCCCAAGTTTAGTCTGTAGTAAAATACGTCATGTTATACACAGCACAGAGCATGCTGTCCCATCCCAGCTTCTGGGGGTCAGCATGAATATCACTGTCTCTTTTGCCATGCAGAAAATCTGCTGGGGGAGGGTTGAAGGGGATGTTCACCTGTGGAAAAGGCATAAAAAATATATATATTTAAAAGCCAATCTGGAGCACCTAATCTCTTTCAGACTAAACTGAGTAGCGAATGAAAATATGTAGGAGATATTTTGAATTGAGAAAAATAAAAGGGTTTATTATTTGGCTGGCATTTTCTCAGCAGTGCATGGAGATAGGGACATCCACTAAACAGTGCAGTAATAATGCTTTCTCAATTAGGAGCCCAGCTCCAAGATAAAAAGGTGCAGTGTCCTTCCATATTTTTTTTAATGGCAGCGGATAGTTTTCAATAGTAGGATAAAAGCCTCACATTACAGCCGTGGAGGGTAGCCATGAAAAAACCCACAGAAGTCATTCACTGGAAAGGCTTTAGTGGGATATACCAAACCCCTTATTTATATTTCAATAGAAAGGCTTTCTGCATTAGCCAAGAAAATCAGAATCTGCATTTAACATTAAAGGTATTTCCCAGTGAGCGGCTGTAGAGCATTGTTGTTAGATTTGTTAAAAAAAGAGACTAAATACGATTTCATAAAAGGGAAACTTAATCTCTAAGGCAGCTTTCTCCCACCCCACCACCCCCTCCCTTTATTTTTTTTTTTTGTAATAATGCAACAGCCTACAGTATTTTTACTTTATATGTGACGAAAGATATTCTTAGCCTTTCTGTACTGCGACAGGAAGAATGAATTTCTTTATTCCACCAAGAAATATGTAAAATAATCCCTTAGAAGTATGGGGAGATATGTTTGTTCAAAGCATTTAAAATGTTATTTTAATCAAAGGCACAAAACACTCTACATGCTGTGTCAGCTAAAGGAGACCATTACATTTTAACAGCAAATCGTGCTCTTTTTCTCCCCTCCTAGCCAGCCCCCCCACTTTAAAACTAACTTTTTTTTTATTAAATAAAAAGGAGAAAAAGATTAAAGAATAAAAAAAACACTTCAGTGGCTCAAATATATAAAGTAATTTAATATGGTGGAAGCATTAATTATTTTAGCTTAATTGAATTCTGAGGACTGCAGTAGTTGCATTTTTGTAGACAAGCTCTGTTTATTATTTCTTTGTGTAGATTAACAGTAAAGGAAACATAGATAACTTTCAGTTATTTATTGTAAAATAAATGTGTCAATTCATGTGTAAAGCAAGCTGTTCAAAGATAATTGAGTCTTTATATTTGAAGAGGGAAGCCAGAAATCACCCACTCGCCACTCCAGCTCCCTGAAATATGCTGCCACCACAGCTGCCCTCAAATAGGTTTCAGCTCCTCTCCTTGATCTTCTGTTATTTTTGTAGACCTTTTTATTTGTTCAGAATGATTTGTGTGGCCTTCTGCAGTGTGACTAAGCCACGAAACCTTACAGCTTCCCATGCCTGAGTGCAGTGAGGGAACGTCAAGTGCTAAGCTTGGTTCTGCCATTGCACCTCTTTTCCCTCTGCGAGTGAGGATGTTGGGATGCAGCACCCTGCTGAGCATTCACCTTGGTACATGGTGCTCTGGAGTCATGAGGTCTTTCTTCCTCTCTTTCTTTTTGCCTTTCTTTCTTACTTGGTAACTCCATTCGCTCTGATCACTGATTGCCTCTTGATGACAAAGCAGACCTTGGGCCACTCTGAGGAAGTCAGGTACAGCTCAGGAGTCTACAAGAATTTGCATGCATGCAACACAAATCTCCAACTGACTTTTCCAGGTACCAGTAGAGACAAAGGCAACTTTATCTCTGAAATCAGCTTTTAAAGACTTTCTGACATCTTTTCCTAACTTGTAACTTGAAAATCCAAGCTTTTCAAGGCACTTTCATTTAGTTACCACAGTTGGTAAGGTGTGTAATAGCATGTTAGCTGGCACTGGGTTGACGTGATTTGCTTGGGAGCAGTATGTCCTGTAAAATTTTTATCTTTTTTTTGAATTGGCTGACCTGTTTGAAAATAATTTCTGCCTGTTTTACAGAGGGTGTGATAGTATCAAACAGATGTACCAGATTGTCGCACAGCGAAACACAGCTGGGCCAATGGGTTAGCTGGGAGTTATCAGTCAGTGCTTCTTTCACTTCACTGCTGGCAGGTATTTTGGAAAAAAATTACACCACTGTTGTGTTTTATACCTCTTTTTATATTTCATATTTATTAGATCTTGAGCCTAGCCAGGTGACCTGTCCTGGCTGAAGAAGGCTCAGGGAGGTGGCTCCTGCTGTCCTTTGGCAGATGGTATTTCCTGTCCTCATGGCGCTGCTGGGCTTGTGGGCCACCAGGCTGTTTGTTAACAGGGCTCTCTGAAACAATCCAGGTTAAAGAAGAAGTATTAATCAGCTTGTGTTTAACGCTGTATGGTTTTAGAGAACCCTGGTGCCTCTGTAGGGCAAGCACCACTTGGACCAGACCTTCATCAGCTTCACTGACTGGTCCTCAAGGTCAGGGCAGCATACCCTCGTGGACAGATAGCCACACCAACAGCAATGGTTCTTGAAGACAGTGCAGCTAATTTCTGCAAAAATGGTGCTAGGGAAGGGGAGAGGGTTGATTGGAATTCCTCGTTCATCCTATCCCGGCCGCCAGTGCTGGGCTCCATACATTATGTACTTGAACTAGATGTGCATCATGAAAAAAGGCTCCCTGTCAGAGGCAGGATTTAACTGCAACCCCTGCTCCACGAATGTTCATTTCAGGCTTTTGAATGGTAAAACTGCCAGTAAGAGAAACTAAATAACTTGCATGTGCTGGAAGCCAGAGATAAACACCGCTGCAGGTTGCCATGAAATAGGCTATTTGATATATTTAGAATTGTTATTTTTCTCCAAATTAAGATTAGTTAAATCCATGTGTGTTGTGTGAGTGATTGTTAACTCAATGGCATGGATTATCCTTTTTTCAAATCATGACAGCTAATTATTATTGCTGTCTACCCTGAGACATTTACTTACAATGTACCATTATGGACCCGTGCACCCATATTAACTGTAGGACTGAACCAGCCATCGTGATGTGATGTCTTCACACGTGAGGAGAGGAAAATGTGAACTGAAACAACCCGAGGCCTGTGGCAGCAATGTCAGGCAGGTTGGCAAGAGGTGT